CAAGTGCCCCCCCTTCCCCACTGGGCTGGGTTGTGGAGTGGGCAGGCGAGGAGATGATTGGGGGGGGGCTGTGGAGGTGGAAAGGGGGGGTTGGGATGGGGGAGGGTGCAACACAAATTATCCCTAGCACCTGAGTCCTTGCACCTTTGGGCCTGGCAGCTCAGCCCCCCGGTGCTCCGGCCCCTGCCCCAGTTATGACCATACAAAAACCAGCGTGACCCTGCCCCCCACACTGTGTGTGTTGCAAATTAGGTGCCAGCCGGAGCCAACACTGCAGCAGCGCAGGTGGATTTCTCCGGCCCCGGGAGATTTTTTATTTTTTTTGGGGGTGCTGGTGGGTGTTGAAGCGGCAGGAACAAAAGACCAAGCCTGATCTGGGTGCGGGGAGCCGGGCGGGGGGCAGGTGTTTTATTAAAACTGGACACTCAGCTTAAGAAAAGAAGCACAGAAAGGCAAACGCAAAAGCAACCCTTTGTCATTGGGACGGTTCACGTTACAATGATCACAGCTCGCACAGGGATATCCATGGCATCCATAGAGTTTATACACAGACCTATGCTACAGACAAAGCCGGGAGAAAGTTACAAAACCATACAGACGCCAGAGCGGGCCTGTTCTTTTTTTTTTCTTTTTTCTCAAAACAGTTCACAAGAAAATTCATGCGAGAGACACACGACAGCGTAGAAACCCCCCAACAGCATCTACAGTTTTCTTGGTTGTCCTCTTAAAATGTTTACCCAACGTACAGTCGCAGACAACGAAAGCAAGGTGTGACATGCAGTAGCATCTCCATGCAGAACTTGGGCGGTGCTTTTTTTTTTTTTCTTTTTTTTTTTTTAAAAATGGGGGGTTTTTTTTTTTTTTTTTTAATATAAATTTCAACGTCAGACTAAAGTGGGTGGTTTTTGTCCCCTTCGTTTTAACGTGAACACACTGGGCTTGTGAGTCACACACAAAAGTTGTGATGCCATGAAAAATGACAGACACACGCACACGCAAACACACACGCGCGCACGCACACGCACACACACACACACAGAAAACTAGTCTGCTTCACCATGGTAGGGCTGGGCTAGGCAATTAATCCAATGGAAATTAACAACCCCACCCAAACGCCCAGTAATCCCTCAGCAAGCACAGCCGAATGTGGAAAAAGCCCTCCCAGGCCGGGCAGGTAAAAGGCAGAATTGCTACAGTAGTAGCCCTTGTGCTACGAATACGAAACGCCTTTGCACCATACTGCTGCATGTAACCACGTGCGACGTTGGGGCCGCTGGTGGAAGGCACACGGCACCACAGCCCCTGCAAAGCCTGACTAGCGCTACCAAGCTAGGGCCATGGTTTCAAAAGCCTGGCGCCTTTTTTTTTTCTTTTGGCTGGCTCCTAAATCGGTCAGGCCCGGCACCGTGGGGCTCAGCTGCTGCCCCCCCAGTGCCGCCAATGGGCTCTAGGTGCATA